CTCTAACCTGACAATGAAATCGCCACCCACAAAAGATCACGGGATACCGGGTGCACTAAACTGGAAGTGACACAAGACCACAGCGGCATCCGTCCCCACCCGCAGCGGTTCCTAGGGGATGGTCTGTCTATGAAGCGTCCTGGTGCCTCGGTCAGCGTGAAATGCTCTGAGGAGCAAAGCGCTCCTCTCCGCACAAGTGGCATTTCTACTGATGGCATCTTTAAAAATAGATAAATGCGCATCTGGTGTGGACAGGGAGTAGCGCTGATAAGCTTGTCATTTGGCTTCTCTAAGAGGTACACGTTTACCCTCCCCTGTATGAATGGAGACGGTTATTTGTTTCGTTCTGAGACAAGACGTTCTTGGAAATGAGTGGCACACCCTTTTCACCCAGCCCCTTCCTCCGTGTAGGTAAAAAGATCCTGTTAGTTCTCATAATTGATTCTGAGGGCTGCAGCGTGCCTCATTGAGCCAGCCTGTTCGGTTCGCGCCAGGGATGTGATTCACGCACCCTTGCACGTCCAACATGGCTGACAAGGCTTGGACACACACCCTCACGGCTGCATCATTTTTTAATCAGCTATCTGAGGAATATTTATCTAATCAACAAAGAACGCTGTCAGGAGGAGACCAGCGGTGACATTAATATAAGTCTGTGGTCTCCCTGGACAATGATGGAGGAAGAGTTGAGGATAAAACCTTGCTCGGTCAAGCATGCCAACCGACTAAGGAATATTTTTATTCCACTTATAAAGAGCTAGTCAAAAGATTCTCATGTTGGGAATCTGCTGTCTGTAATTGGTTCTGAGGCATTTGCATTGCCATAGTAAAAAAAAAAAAAAAAAGGAAATTTTAAGTCCCTTATAATCATTGCGTGAACTCACACAAAAATGTGTAGCTTCCAAAAATAAGAAGATGTGTAATAATTGGGAGTCGTTAACTCTAAATGATTCCAGCTACTCTTACTTAGTAGAAAGCCATAATTTGCACATTTTCCCTTTCTTTCTGTCTCCTTTGAAAAGATTGTGATTGTCTGTTAGTAATTATGAGGAGTTGAGTGTATTATGCCATACCTCATTTGGTCATCTGGAAATTCATTTGTAACTATCAAACACCTTACAGAAATGTTCTGTGAATTAACATTTATACCAGCCTTTCTTCTCTATGACTCAAGATGGACAGCAGTTGAAACCCAGATGAGCTGGGTGACAGCCACCCCACATGCCAATCTGATGACCCACTACCAGAAAATCAGTCATGACTGAACGTGGCCATCAGTGGGGCTGTTTCAGAAAGGGGCAGTGTTACTGGACATCCCAAGTGCATATGCCAGTACACTCATCAACATTAGTATTTTGGTACCAGAGGTGCCACAATCACCTCTCTTTTGTTTTCTTTGTAGTTAAAAGACTGCCTTATAAATTCAGTTTACTGGTAATTCATATTCCAGAGGGTTCCTTGATAACTTCAAGAGGAAATTAGAATACCTTTGTTGTTACATGGTGGGAAACGTTTGTCTTATAGTTGGGGGGGGTGAGTGTCTGTACCATCTTGACCCGCCTTTTTCAAAGTTTTGATCCTTTTAATCCTTAGAAAATACATTCCAAGCAGTATAATGATGAGTTTCATGTCCTTCTCTGTTTTTAATTCTTGACCATCAGCTGTGTCTCTTGTACCACCTCCTACCATGGTGTCCACATAGCAGTGTTGTGTTTAAGCTGAGGTCACTGTTCACCTTTGGGCGCCTTAGGCGGAGCATGCTGTCCTGCTGATGGCTTCCTTTCCCCAGGGTTGCTGACTTTTCTGCCAACCCAGATTGGGGTTCAGAAAGTTCCATGCAGTGTGCAGGCTGCAATGAGAAGAGCTCAATCTCTCACCATCCACATTCGGGCTGACAATTAGTTTGCACTAGATCTGAAATTATATGTGCTGGGGTTTTATGTCTATTGAGATTTGCATTTTGGTTTTCAAGCATCTGAGAGTGCAGAGACGTCTGCCATTTAAATAACTATGTGAGGCATTGTAACCAGTTCACAGAAGAGACTGTTGTTTCTCCAGTCCGCAAAATAGCAGAATGGAAAACTCATGGATATGAAAATAACGGTTTTGTGTGAAATAACATTAGTGACAAAATCAAAGTAAGTTAGCCTATGTTTAAAAGGAAGAAACTATATTCCCAAAATTTTTTTAATTAAAGGTAACCCCGAAAATGTAGTCTTTTGAGCCAGTCTACTTGAAGTCCTCAGGACTCACGGCCTATTCCAGAGGCCTGAGATGGGGGACACTGCCAGCATAACGGCCAGTGGCGTGTGATGGTCAATGGAGGAGGCACCCAGTGGCATCAGGTTGGCGTGCTCCTGGACCCATTTGGTGCAGTGTGTCTGCTTCCCTTCGAAGTGAATCCAGGCAGCAGCATTGCACATAGCCTGGGATTCTATCGATGCTAATATGATGGTATTTTCTCACTGAGAAGCTTCTAAACAAGTGGACTTAGAACAATCAATGCCCCAGGAGACAAATGTATGTATCAGGACCTTGGTATCAGGCAGAAGAAGTCCATTGTTTAAGAGAAAGAAAAAGGCATGACATTTTACACGTTGAAATTGATTATTTCATCAATAGGTTAATAGAAAACCAGGCTGCGAGTTCACTTCCTGCTTATGCATCCATTCGGTAATGGGAGACGGGAGTTTGAAAAATGCCGGGCATGAGGCAGGCGAGGACAGAGCTTTCCTGCACGGGAGGAGGCAGCTGGAGCTTCCCTCCCGTGTCTCGAGGGGTGCCAGCCCAGATTCGGCCTATCTATATGTAAATCTTTTAGAAAGAGGTAAGTTTTACGCTGAGCGTAGCCTCTTTGTGGCTCCTACTTTCTGGAACTTGTAAAATATGAGCCAACATGCCAGAGCTTCAGCTATTGAGATAAGGAAGCACACGCTTAATTCTGTGAAAGCATCCGTTATACCTCAGCAACCTGCTAAGTATTCGTTGACCATTTCTAAGGAAACATTTGAGGACTGACTGCTGTGGTTTCCTGGGTCTCCAAGGCATGACTTGGCACTGGTGCATACCGGAAGCTCCCTTTGCCAGGTGTGGTCTTACGTGGGACAGATACCTTGAGGATATGGAGAAGGCACCTTCTCCACCCCCGAAACATTCCATTTAGACCCATATTCCCTAGAAGGGCCTCGGTCGCCATCTTTAAATGCCTACTAGTTTAGAGATTACTTTTCTTCTTAAATTATTTTGTTGGTTTTCAGACTACAAAGTAATTCCTGGGTGTTTAGTTATAGCTTAACTTTTTCTCGTTTTAAATCAGGTGACAACTAAGTTACAGCTATTTCTTACTCTCGTCATTAATATAAAGCTTGCGTCCTGAAGATACAGTACTGTTTCACAATTGCGTTTGCTTCCCTAAGTGTCCCTGTTCCTCGCATCGATTTTATATTGTCCCTCCTAACAAACCCAATATGCAGAGAAGCGTTTGAGATTCACGTGAGCAGCAGAACTTCTCAGGGGGGACGTGGGCATCACCCTGGGTCATTCTGTGGCCCCCAGAACTAGGCATGCACAGACCTACACCGCACTGTTTGAGGTTGAGTATTTTGGCTCCAGCACTGAGCAGGGAAGAACAGCCAACCCATCCTAAGTCAGGAGTTGACCCTTGACTGTGCGTGCCTTGTTTCTACATCAGTCTGTGAACCAAAGGGTCAATGTGGCTTCCTTCTGTGAGCCTCAGACACACCTGTGGAAGCACAAACACCTGCCTTCCCCAGGTGAGCGAACGGTTATCCAAAGAGAGCCTAATGGGAGGTTTGACCGGTTCCTCTTTCTGTTTGTGGAAGTTAAGAGAGACGACAGATGGGCTGGTCGTGCCTCTTCTTCGGGAAAATGGGTGACTGTGGCGTCACTGCCTATGCTGACGTGGGTGCCCATGGGGCAACCCCGTCCAGCCGGCCCGTGGATCTGTGGCTGTGTCTTCAGCCCCATTTGCCTGAAGACTTGCTCAGATAGAGCCATGCTATTTAACTGGTAGCTGTGAAACCTCTCCTGAAGGGCTGACAGGAAGCGACCTATTAGCCACAGGTGTCCACATGCCTGAGTCGATGGTTGGGAGGGTGGGGGCCCAAAGAGATGAGAATGCGTCCCTGGAGAAGAGTGTCCTTGGAGGTGGGGTTCCCGTCTCACCCCACACAGTCCCTGCACACACTGTGAGCAGAGGGCATGCTACACCCATGTTAACTGGGTTCTGCGTTTCACTTCCTCTGGGGGTAGCTTGGTATCCATCTTTTTTCTTGGATGCTTTCTTCAGTGAGCTGAGAGCTTAAGGAGGCTGTGCTCTCTGGGTTCCTGGGAGCTCCAGGCAAAGCCTCCAGCATCCTCCCTCTGGGAAGGAGCATGGACTCCGCCCTTCAGCCACAGCAACGGTGCTAGAGTTTTGCTGGTGTAGGTTACTGTCCAGATCCAAATATGTCTGGGAGGAAAAAGCCTTGGTTTTTTAACAGTTCTGGTTATTACAGACCTACCTTCTGCAGCACACACATGAACTGCCAATCACCAGAATCTCTTTGGATTTGACATGCTGCCAATGTTTTGCCAAATCAAAGGGCTTATGGCTGCTGGCATCACAGCTCCTTCAAAAGATGTCACCAACCCCCAAGGAAAAGACCAGCTTTGCACTGTTGTGAGCAGCCACGTGTCACACCCAGCAGGGTGGGCTAAAGGGATGCATGGACTTCCTTGCCTGGGCATTTGTTTGATTTTGTGCAAACCTAATGACGCTGGCTGGCACGCCTCCGCCGTTCCTGAGTTCTGTGCTAACAGCGGGGCAGCCGGGGTCCCGCCGGCTGGCCCCGAGCGCCCACGTGCCTCTCGGGAACCGACGGCTCCGAGGTGACCTCATGTGCTACTTTGACATTTCTTTTCTCCCCTTTTCATTTGTATTTTTTTTCCTTTTTGTTTTCTCTCTTTCCCCCCCACCCCTTTCTGCTCTCGGGATGCAGCCAAACGCAAAGCATGGAAACTAAACCGTGTTGGTAGCCTGCGAAATATATACAGCAGCAGCAGCACCAACACTGAAGGTAACGCCACACATTCCCCTCTCCCCACCCCCGCCCGCCGTCCGTCCGTCCTTCCTTCCTTCCTCTCCAATGCAGAAATGGAAATGTGATTCGCCCAAAGCCGCATGCACCCTTATTGTGTTTGCAGAGTCATTCCTGTGGTCTTTTCATCTTTTTGTTTGTGTGTTTTGTTTTACCATTCATGTTCCTTTCAGCTTACTTAAATTTTGACCTTTCCCTTCCGTCGTAGAGTAGCGATGTTTAAATTACTTCAGGAACCTATTTTCTCCTCTTTTTTCTTTTCCTTTATACATGTGGGCACTCAATGTAATATTTCCCAAGTTATTACAGTTTTTAAAAGTGTTAGTATCAGGTGTAATGATCTGTAGCCAAATACAATAGTGTGCCGTGACATTTAAGTAAGAGTCTTAATTTGTTTTGTGGAAGCATTCTCCATAATACTCTCTGCAGCTCTAATCCAGAGGCAGCCAGGCCCGGGTCATTTGCATGGGCTGCTATTGCTTGTAAATTCAGTGTATTGTTGTGTTTCTAAAGGTCGTCTGGTGCCAGAGTTCACAAATTGACTTGCATTGCTTTTTCCACCGAAGACAGCCGGCATTGCTTTTGTATAATAGCAGATGGAGTTTTCCCCCACCTTCATTTGAACAACACAATTATAAATTGCCTCTTTTTTTTTATGATTACAAATGTCAAGGGTCAGAATTATTTTGATGCCAGGCAAAGGAAAACCACCACCATCAGCCCAAGCACTCGTAAGGGAGGCTGGCGTACAATCCGTGTGATGCAAAATAGGTCACAATCCAGCGATCTTGGTATAATAGGGGGACATTTTTTTTCAGTTAAGTGCAAGCCAAATGGGTCAAGTAATCACAAGCTCATGCCCTAACACTAATTGACTTATTTGGGGATGATTATAACTGTAATATTTTTCTTAATGTCACTGTTTTCTGGGCTGTTGATTTTAGCGATTGCCAAGCAGTGGCATTAAATCTCTTGTAAATTTTAAATTGCACGCGATTTCTGTAAACAAGTCCCCTCTCTTCACATCCCGATCATTAACCTTTCCTGATTTATATCACATCCTTTTTTTCTTCCTTTCACAATTACTCCTGTCTGGTCGCTGAAAGCCCTGCTCTCAGCCAGAAAAAAAAAAAAATGAATCTGGAAAACAAAACTACATTTTCACGATGGCTTGTTAAAGACCTGTTTTTAATCATAATTTTCTTTTCATTCCTCAAGGGGAAACTGTCGTCTGTTAAGGTACCAATGGAGCCTGACCCCCTTGGTGTCTTCTTTCAAAGTGTTCACTCAAGAAAGACAAAATGAAAGAGAAAAATAAGAGGATTTTAGCAACACTCACATGCAATAGCATTTTTTTGGTTGTACTTTAAAGAGTATTAAATATACTCATTCACTGCTTTTTAATGTTAGTTTTTCAACTTAGGGTGAAGATCGTTTCTGTTCCCTCTGTCCTTATCAAATATGTTTTTCTTTCGTGTGTGTGTGCATTTGTCACAACAAATTTGTTTGTTGACTTTTGGCCCTAAAAGAGAAGAGACGTGATGTCCGGTGTTATGTGGGGTTGCATACAAAGTTGGGGGCAAGAAGGAGGCACACACTTTGGCTCCTTAACCTTGAGGGCAGACAGCTCCCCCTCAGACTCACTCATGGAGCCTTCCTGGAGACCCCGGTGGGCTGCAGCTCACAACAGGTGTGACGATTTGCAGAAGTGGGGACTGGTCAGCCTCGGCCAATCAGGTAACCTGCGGCGTCTGCCCTGGGTGATGGGTGATGCTAGCTGCTCTCTGAAATCCACAAATACCGGTTAACCAGTTAGAGTTGGGGTCCCTCAGCCGACTGCCAGCAGCTACTAAAGGCAGCCCTGGGGAGATTGGAGTCAAGAATGGCCCCAAAACCACTTCTCCCTCACGTCTTCTTGTACTCCTGTTCGGTGTTCAGTTACATTTATGAATTTTCAATTAAGCAACGTGATCTTTCTTCATTTACTTTGGGTTTCGTTTAAGATGAAGATCTGTGCACACAAAGTCGATTCATATGGCTTTTAGTTGTATATTACTGAATTCATATAATTATATAAAATAAATTCTCAAAATGCCTTTCTGATTTCCAGTCTTTGGATGTCTCTAACATGATCCTGTATGAAAATTCATATCCTGAACATTCTAACTTTTGTTCTAACCTGAGGCCTTGAGTGTTATACTAAATGGACCCATCCCCAAGTGGGGTACTCTGTAAAGTGTGCTACTTGAGTAGTTTATTTAGTTGTACCCACAAAACACAAAACTCCAGTTGACTCCAGTGTTTCCTGTGGAGAGAGCTGGAACTTGAGTTTTAGGAGTAAGAGGAGGGCCCTGCTGTGAGCCAGGCACTGTCCAAGCTGCGTGTCCACGCATTGGTGTGGTCCTCAGCACAGCCCAGAGGAAGGGTGTCCGCACCCCACTTTCCAAATCTGGAGAGTGCAGCTCAGACATTATGGGACTTGCCTGCGTCTCAGGTTGGTGAGAGAAGGGCAGGAGCAAGATTTGAACCCGATGGTCTCGTTCCAAAGCCCTTTTTCTCTTAAGTCCACTCTGTTCTGGTCCCAGGACTGCACTATCTCATTTAATCTTCGTAGTCCCCTGCCAGGTAGGTATTATGCTACAGAAATTGGGGTTTAGTCAAGTCAAGTGATTTTCTGCAGGACACATAGCTAGCGTGTTGGACATATGCCCAGCTCTCCCAACTCCAGAACCTGTTCTCGGATCCTCATGGTCAATGTCAGCGTGGATGTAAACAAGTTAGAACTAATTAGAGAAACACACATACAAGCTTAGAAAACAAAAATAATTCTCTTCTGCTTTTGTCTGTCCATTAGGGCAACTTATCTCTGAAACCTAGATGGAAACCTAATTTGTATATATTTTATCGTACTAATTTTCAAATCTTTGTTACTTTATAAAAATTAAACTCTTCCCCAAGGTTGGTGAAATTTGAGTTCCTTCAACAAGAATGCAACTTTAATTTTTCGATCTCAGAAGCCTGTAAAGTGGAAGGTATATTCACGATGTGATTCTCCCCTTTATAGCTTCTAACCCAAGGGAAAAACAAATCTCAACACCAAGGGGCTGAGGCTCCACTTGGGAATGTCAGCTCCATGATGGACTTTTTTCTGTGAAAGAACACAGAGAACTAGCAGGAGGGGGGACCTCGTGTAGAAGGAAACACAGAAGGGAGGCCTGTTGGCTTGTTCGGAGCGGCAGCCCAGGGCGCATTATGGAGTCCATGGGCTTGTCCTTGGGCCTCACCTTGCCCTGCACAGCTGGAGACAGACCAGGTTATCATCCACGTTGAGCTGGGTGAAGATGTGGACTCTTTCAGGGGTGTTTAAGCTCCCTTTGCTCTTATGGAAGCAAGCACTATCTTGTCTTGATAAAGCATAAAATAGGGAAAAGAGAGATGTATTGGGAAATAAAGGTCGTTTCTTGGGGTGCCAGGCCCACCTGCGTTATATGAGCTGAACAGGCCACTTTACACTGTAGATGACGCTTACACCCAAGTACTCGCCAGGTTCAGCGTTAGCCCGAAGTCCCAGTGCAGCCCTGTCTGTCGAGGTCCATTTCTGTGCATCTGGAACTTGCGCCAGAGACAACCTGTGAAACCCATTTGGAATGCCTCCCTGCGGCCACAGCTGCACAAGAGAATGGACTCAGAGGTCCCCAGACACTGTGGTCCCAAACAGGCCCTGCCGTGGAGAAAAACAAGTCTCCTGTTGGAGAACATGGGTGGCAGACACTCTGCGTGCCTCAGACCTGTATCAGTGCCCCACACGCCCTTCCTCCACTGGACAGGCAAGATGGTCCCTGTTCCTGTGAGCACACGTGAGCAGCACTTCTAAATGGCAGGCCTCAGTCAGTGGCCTCTCTCTCCACCACGCGGTGTTCATAGTCGCAGTTCTGAGATGTCCACCTCATTCGAGTTGAGTTAAATTACAGGCACATGCTTACACACTCACAAGTCGCAGTGATGAGCCTGCCCGGGTCTCGGGTTCCTGCCGTGGCACACCATGACCTGTGCTGGGTCTGGGCAGACAGAGAGGGGAAAGGCTGATGGTCAGCCCAGGGGATGTCAGACAAAGATCTGATGCAGAGTGAGGGAGGATAAGTTCCGAATGAGGCCTGGGTGCCCTGCGGGTTTAGTGGAGAGCGAAGCTACATTCAATTTAGGGGTTCAGGAAAGGCTTCATGATCTATGGGACTTGACAGGACCCCTGTGACCACAGCGCTGAGAAATTTCCTGGCATCCTGTCCTGTAACTCCCTGGCAATCCCTGAGGGAGATCACATCCTCCACATTTTACAAAAGGAGAAACCGAGACACAGAGAAGGGCAGTCAGGAGCGCCAGGAAAGCACAGTGGCATGTGGAGACCAGGCTGGGCATTGGGGTCGGAGCCACAGGCTGAAGCCCGGATGTGGGCTCAGCAACGAGCACGGAGTACTCTTGGGCTTCAGCGGAGAGGTGTGGATGCCCCGTGGGGCCGTGACACTCAGCAGACAGCCGTCACCACGGGTGGGGGACAAAGGCTGCTCTGCCCTAGCAGGTGTGACAGTCGTGCTGTCCTTCTGAAGGACTCCCTGCAGTGTCTAGTCCACCCCGAGATGTCCCAGCAGCGTTCCCAAGGCTCCGCGTGCCCGTGGGGCGCACCCTCTGAGGCTGCCTTCCACACTCAGGCGGCGTTTTTCTTCTTCTAAATCATTGCACATGCTGTCAAACTTGGATTCTGGATCAGAAATTCTGCACACCTTGTGTTTGTGAGCGGCAGTATAGACAGTGGTTTTGAGCCCAGACCCTTGAACCAGATAGAATTGGTCCAATTCTTGCACCTCCATTTCTTAGCTCGAACCTTGGGTCATGGACGTGCCCTCTCTGTACCTCGATTTCCCCATCTGTCAACTGGGGAGATGACGCCCGCTGCACAGGTTGGGAGGAGTCAGTGAGTTAAC